TTTACCGGTCGTGCTTATGTTGTGCAATTATTAGAAAGAGACAGTGAAATAAATTGAGAGTTCATTGACCCTGTCAGGATATCAGCTGTTGATGCTCTGATCGGTGGATGTACCCGGTGACACAAATATTTTTTATCGAAGCTAGTTTTTTCATGAATCAATGGGTAAGTTTTATTTAAGTTGTTTCCGTATTTTTAAAATTATACGTACGCAACAATTGATTTATTTCACTTCAATGAGGTACTGCATTAGATATTTTATTCCATTTTTATTTTTTTTTTTTTCATCATAATTTTATATAGACCATTTATTACAAAGTATATACTTTACATTTCCAATATATTTTGTGACCAAATAAATAATATTACATAACAAAAACAAAAATTAAGTCGAAGATACATGGTTGGCAAAATTATGTTTTCATGAATATATTTGTACTATAATTTTGCATAATACTTAATTATTATTTTTATTTCTCTCGTAATGAAATTAGACCATTTATAACGTATTATAAAGTTACTTTGAGGTAGAATTCCCTCGCAGTGCGAATATTAAAGCGCTACGATGTGCGGGCCGATATATCGGCACTGGTATTTCTCGCTAGTGCAATGCGGACCGATATATCGGCTCTCGGTACTAAAAGGGTTAAAACAGTTTTTTTTTTTTTTTTTTTTTTTTTTAAGGTGGGGGAAATACATTTACGTACGCAGTGTGGGACTCATGCGAAAACCGCATACTACCCACTAAAACCCCCACCGGGGGATTTATTCCCTCTATTAGAACAAATAATATATACAATATATACAAAGTTGGCCCCGAAGGGGGCCGATTGTTAGAAGTAGGGCTCAATATAACCCCCATTCACCCTAATGGCCGCTCGAGCCCGAGTCAAGACGTTATCGCTTACTCTGCGCAGTGTGCCGAGAGTTATGCTGGAAATTGCCCCGCGGATGCGATTCACCAGGTCATCCCGAAAAGTGATCGGTTCTCGATACACCTCATTCTGAACAATTTATGACATTTAGTTTTACTGAAAATACTATGAAATTAATTTTTTTCTTAAGAAAATTTTCTATCTTATCTTCAAGAATCCCCAGAAGAAAAAATGGGTTCATGTCGGGTGACCTGGGGGGCCACGCGACAGGGCCGCCGCGCCCGATCCACCTGTCCCGAAAGGTGTGATCAAGGAAAGCTCGAACACTTGCGGCATAATGGGCTGGAGCACCATCATGTTGGAAAAACATGTTCTGTCGAATCTCTAGTGGAATTTCTTCCAAAAGATTCGGCAGAACATATGCTCCAAAAACACTTTATTAGTTGATCCGTCCAATCTGTCGGGCAGAATGTACGGACCAACAATAAAGTCCCCACAAATGCTGGCCCAAAGATTCACGGACCAGCGCGTTTGCATTGCCCGTGAACGGATCGCATGCGGATTTTCATCATTCCACAAATGCGAATTGTGGGCATTAAAGCAGCCTTCTCTGGTGAAAAGGGCTTAATCAGTAAAAAGGGCTTCATCTGTCCACAAAACGTATTTGCACAAAGATGGATTCCGCTCGATCTTTCCCACAAGCCACCTAGCACAGTGAACCCGTTGAATGTAATCTTCTGGGTTTAAATGCTGCACATGTACATATTTGTACGGGTGCATCATATTTTCTTGTAGAATTCGATGAATCGAGGTCCTGCTGATCCTAAAATAAAAGACAAAAATACATTATTAAAAAATAAATTATAGCGATAGTATAAAAAAAACATAAAAAAATAATAGATAAATACAGGACAGTATTCTCTCTGTAAATACAATTGCCGGTCCCGATTGTAACATTTATGGAATAGGTACTACTCACTACATTCTTTGTAGTGAGCCGAACATAGAAAAAGTTGTAGTGTGCCGAACGTAAAAAGAGCCAGCGATACAAAAGACAAGGAAGGATAGAGTAACTGAGGTTCGGCAAGCATGAAAGATTCGTGCGTGTTCTGTCTTTTAAATTCACAAATCAAAATTCCTTATTTTTGGTTTTCCGTGAATGAAACTTCGATTATCGTATTCGTCTTGTTTTTCTGACTAAAATGGTACCAAACACGGTACAATTAAAATCATAATTACTTGTATAGCAAGCCGTTAGGAGGAATTCGTATCTCTGCCGTTAATGTGAAATGTAATAGTTTGCTGTAAGTGTGAAAGCCCGAAATTTTTATGGCTTGTTACATAAGTAATTACGATCGTAATCATATCGTGTTTGGTGTTATTTTAATCAGAAAAACGAAACAAACATCGAAAAGTTCCATTGACGAAAAACCGAAAATAAAGAATTTTGATTTTTGAATTTAAAAGACAGAACACGTACGAGTCTTTCATGTTTGCCGAACGTTTCAACCTTCTGCCTCTCTTTCTTTTCCATTCGGCTTCCTCTTTTATGTTAAAAACTTTAATCACTCGTTACACTCGCAATGGTTAACGTAATTATATCATGTTTGGTGTCATTTAAATCAGGAAAACTAGACGAATACAACAGTAAAAGTTTCATGGAAGAATAGTACAAAATAAGAAAGTTGCAATCTTTTCCTTTCCTTGTATTAGTGTGTGTCTCACCGATATTCGATCCTTGTCGTTTCGGCGACTGAGATCGTGTTTCATTTTTGATTGATTTCGAGGGGGATCCCCCTAGTAGTGGAGATCGAATTTTAACATTTACGGTAGAGAGCTTTTTGACATTTACGGAGAAAATACTGTAAGATGTTAACATCTATTGTAAATAATCAATTTAACTTACCCCAATCGATGACTGGCATCTCGTACGCTGAGAGTCCCATCCCGGTTAAATTCTTCGAGCACTTCATCCGTCTGTGCCGTGGAGATCAGACACGAGCAACCTGCACCTTTTCGTACAGGCTGCAATGAGCCACTCGTGTATAACCGTGCGGCTAATCGTCGAAACGTATTAGCCGACGGTAAATTTTGACCGGGATATTGCTCTGCATACCGCTGGGCAGCTTCTTCCGCATTCCCGTCACACTGCGCATACGAGAAAAACATTGCGTAGTATTCTGCGTTGGAATACATCTTTACCGTGATTTTGTAAAGATCTAATTAATTTATTTACATATGTTGCCATACCAATGCATCTTTTGTTTTTGTCGCATGCTTGTAGGTGGGAGAGGGAGGTGTAGCATACTTGCCAAAAAGGCATGAATGTAGTTACAAATTACGTGCGTACATCGTCTCTCTTTTATGTACATTAAACATTTATTTCTTCTTTTTCATTACATAGTATTCTCAGTTCTTTTTTGGATTATTATTAATAACACAACGAATTTGTGTCCGCATCGCTCAATTTCGGGGATAACATTATACATACAGCGAAGATTACAAAATTCGGAACAAATAAAATTTGTGACGGAGTGTTATTCAATAAATCGCTTAAACAAATTCAAGTATTGCATATCCGTTCAAATGAAGTGTAGTAACCCATCGATATAGGATTAGTGGGTAGGGAGATATCAGTCCCACTCTCATTGTATGAGACCCACACTACCACCGCGAGGAGAAATGTACATTGTATTTCTACCGGCGTTAACAAAAAAAAGAAATATTGCATATTTTTTGAAGGGAATGTAACAATTGGAAAAATCAGCTCCTTTCGAAGCCATCACAGAAAATATTTTTAACGTGCTCATCGGCATACCACCTGTATTCGGATGATATCATACATTTATTTCAGTTAATCAATAATGTTATAAAAAATAATTTTAATGCAATGATACATTAAACACAGTTATATCTAAAAAAAAATAATTAAATATTGTTGAGAATAAAATTACAATTAATTATCATTTTTAACAAATTTCATGCGTCTTCACAAAGTTGTCGCTGAAGGTATTAAAGTGAAAAGTGAAAGTAATCGTGTCGTGAGTTCATTGACCTCACCATGTTAACAGCTGATTGACATCAGCTATCGAATGGTTGGAAATGATTCCAATCGGTAAAGTGATCCACTTTCTTCTAAGCACAATAATTTGTGGCTCAATGGGTAAGTCACATTTAAATTCTTTTATCTCTTATTGCTTTCGCATAACGAAGAAAAGTATCGAATAAATTCCATTTTTCTTAATTAAGTGAAATTTAAATTTTTTATTTACTATTCAATTTACCTAATAGTCTCTTGTTATACCGACGATATACCGACATTATACCGACGCGGTATCGATACATTTGTTCGTGACGACGATCGGCCGTCACACTCGAAGCTTTTGCTCACGCTTTCGTGCGCCCGGTCTATGCGCGCTCTCATTGGTCAGTGTTTTTTGCTAATAACTCGAAAATGGAGCCTCAACCAATATTTTGGAAAGGAAAAAGTTGTTTGCAATCGCCCCACCTACAACCCCTTTTCGGGACCTGCACTAATTGCGGGACACCCTGTATAATTTAAAATCACTTCCTGTGAAGAGGTGCGATTAGCATTTTTATTAAAAATATTATTTTTCCAAGCTCTTATACTTGACTTTGCAACTTCTTTGCCCGCGTTTTTCTTTTGCACCACTCAACCAATTCTCATCAAATTTTGCACGCGATGCGTATGTATGTACATCCTGATGGACATAGAAAAACGGAATTTTAAATCGGACATACCACAGAGGAATAATCACCGAAAAACCAGATCCTCGTAGACTTCAATGCAAAGTTGAATTTGCTCGTGCTTATGTACTTGACTTTTCAACATTTTTGTCCACGTTTTTCTCTTGCACCACTCAACTAGCCACTCAACCAATTTTCATGAAGAGTGCGGATGACACGGTTGACTATTTTTGGTTTAGCGTGAAATTTACTCGCTCGCTCAACATGGTTAGGTTAGGCGCGGAGCGCCTCAATCAAACAGACCTAGTTTACTTCGAAGACTTTACGCCTGTAAAAGTGTAACAGTACTATTGGCAATGAAAGCCTATATTCCTTGCGGCGGTGATTATAACCGCGTTACGTTCATACCTGCGACGCTTACAATAATTATTGAAAGATCAATTAATTGTATATGAAAAGGTATAAAATCTCTAAAACTAGGTCTGTTTGAGTGAGGCGCTCCGCGCTTAACCTAACCATGTTGAGCGAGCGAGTAATTTTCACGCTAAAGCAAAAATAGTCAACCGTGTCATCCGCACTCTTCATAAGAATTGGTTAAGTGGTGCAAGAGAAAAACGTGGACAAAAAAGTTGAAAAGTTAAGTACATAAGCGCGAGAAAATTCAACTTTGCATTAAAGTCTACGGGGATCTGGTTTTTCGGTGATTATTCGCTCGCCTTCGGCTCGCTCGCTCAATAAAATATTTAGAACTTTTGGAAACATTGGGATTTTTTAAGAAACTAAGAAAATAGAAATAAATTAAATTATTTTTTAACAATATTGGCCATTTATAGACAGTGAGTTATTTTGTGATTACAGAAAATAAAATTGGGTATATTGGATATTTATACAATTGGTATGATTTCTAATTTTCAAATTATTATTATTATTGTTACTACTGTATTTTATTTTATGTTATATTTCAGTAAAATCTATATTGAAAAATGAGCGATTCAGAATCAGAATATGAATACGCAAATTTGTTGGAAAGCGGTTCAGAAGAAAGTGATAATTATAGTAGTGATTCTGAAGATAGTTCAGAAGAAGATATAGCTGTTGATTGGAAGGATATAAGCAATGTCCAAACAAATCCATCTCCTCAAAGGTTTCCATTTGTTGTCGCTCCTGGTTCAATTTTTCTTTTGGAGGACAATTTTGACATACTATGCTTTTGTTCCATGGAAAAAGGCTATATTTTATTGTTGAATAAATAAGTGTTATAGCTTACAATCCCATGTAAATGATAAATATCAATAAAAAGATTTTTTTTTTGCTTTCACATTGTTATTTTCAATTCTCGATTATATTCAAGTGTGAAAAATTATAAAAGCATAAAATACAACGCCGCTCGAATTATCTCGAGTGTGCACAGTTTGGCCTGTTTAGCGCGCTCGAATTAACTCGAACGTACAAGTTAAGGGGTTAAGTAAAATTTGTTTCTTTAGTAGTTATTGTTAGTATTAGTTTTTTCAAAAGTGTTAGAGATTTTATTAAATAATAAAGAAGAGCATTGCACAAATCAAATTTATACAGTGCAATACCACTTCTTGTATCATTATTTCTACAATATTATTAATTATTAGCTCATTATGAATTGCATTGTATTTTTTGTTATTATTTTATGTATTGTTTGTAATTAATTATTTCTTCTAATGAAACACTTATAACTCGTGCATCTAAAACCCTTTAAAACTCCGATTTAACAGGAAAACTTGTGAAAAACTAATTAATAATAAATCAAAGTATATGTTTATTAATCGAATTAATATATATTTGCTATTAAATAAAGCGTAATAAAATAATGATAATTTTCAAGTGAGAAAAAACCCATGATTCTCTCGGTATAAAAAGATGTGTAGCAAAGGCTGCGAGAGCAGAACAATTTTTGAAGTAGTACGTGTCGGCCCTCTTAGGAGAAATATAAAGCGACGAATTGGAGCAGTATTAACTAAAAAGAGCCTACAAGATTCTTAGTTTTGACTGGACAGCGGGTATCAGCCATTTGGATACTCGATCATTGGGTAGTTCTAGTAGCCAGCTAACACAGGCTCCCCAAATAAGCGATCAGGTTTTAGGTGCTGATTTGTGTTCCAACAAAAAGGGCCATGGAACTAATAGTTTAGAGTCAAACAAGGAGTAACTGTTCCACGTCCGATACAAATTTTAGAGTTTTTGCAATAAACCAAATATTGTTCTGTCAGTTCTGTTGCGATCTAGATCCATTATAAAATTGCGTTATTTTCTTGCGTTGCGTACTTCATTTTAAAATCGCGTAACCGAAGTAGCTAGCTACCGTCTTGTGATTTACGATATCAACAGGTCTAGTATACTCCATCTTGCTTATAGAATTCAGATGCACATATATTTCTATATTTGCTAAAGAAATTGTTAAATACAACTCTCTTTTTCATTATTACTTGAATAAACTTAATTAATGAAAGGTATTAACATGTAGATTTCACTCTTTAAACACACGCCACCACGATCCCACATTCTTTTAGGATTAGTTATAGTAAAACGAGTCACTTAATGCTTAAGAAATAAAAAGTAACTAAAAATAGGAACTGTTCCAGAGGGCGTGTGTGTCGCTGTCGCTACAGTCGCCACAGGCAGTACGCTAGTGGCGCTACCTAGTGCAGCGTGTGAGAAATATGTTAACACGGGAGACAACGACGCCATTCGTTATTCGTTCGCTATTCGTTATCCGTTCGCTACGTCTTGTATATCGTGCAAAGAATAAATAGTTGTGTTATAAGAACTTGGTATTATTTGTCCTCAAACGCTCCCACAGTTGGTGACCCCAACGTGATCGGTGACGTTCCTTTTTCTTTTGTCATATTACGTACAGGAAGCGTTTTTTTATCAAAATAGAGATAATGGGACACGTGGACCCGGGAACGCGTCATTTGCGGCGGTGAGTGTAAAAGTGCCTCCTTTCAGGGTAGAAGAACCCGAAATGTGGTTCGCCCCGTTAGAAGGACAGTTCCACCCACTTATACATAACTATGGACGCGACAAAATTTGCATACGTCGTCGGCAACCTGGAGGGTCGGTACGCCAAAGAAGTTGCAGCCATTATCAAAAATCCGCCAGCGATGGACATGTTAGCGCCAACGTATTTTGGAGGGTCGTTGAGGGCAATTAGTCTGTGCTATTTTGCCTTCGAACGATTTATGATAGGGATAGCCTGCATGAGGTCTAAGCGAAAGGTGGTTTATGAGAGTCCAAGTGTGGCGATAGATGATGGCTATTGACTTGGAGTCGTATGGTCATCAGATGTCGCAGGGCTGTGTGTTTTATTAGTTCCTGAGATTGTAGAAAAGGATAGATAGATTGTTATTGAATTGCTTAGTCGAATAGGGACGTTGTTCCTGGAGGATCTGGCCACGTAGTGGGGAGGCAGGGATGCCTTTGGTAAGAGGACTGAGTTTGACCTCTCGGCACTTACCCCAGCACCTTAATTGGGAATGCATCTCTTTTCGAAAAAGTTTCTAACAACCC